CTATATGGCTCCTTTCTCTGACTCGCCTGACCATGGGTTTCAGTGATGCCGGCTGGTGCTCCTGCGACTTCATCGCAAGTTTGGCTCCCAGTCCCATCATCTCCAAGCCGCTCCTCTACTCCATCATCTCCATCTCCACCTTCATCGGCATCGGCATCCTCACCAAGCTCGGTTTCGATGTCGTAGAGAGGAGGTTGTTCCGCCGACAGAGAGAGCGAGCAGCTGCATTCAAAGCAGCACAGGTCGAACTGGGGTTCATGCTGCAAACAGACGAGGAAGACTAGAAGGAGGAGGCAGAGGAGGTACAGGTACAGGTAGTTCAGTTTACTCTACATTACATCTTCATCTTCAACCTCTGCAATCTATCTCTTCCTTACACCTCCTCTCGGTCTTCGCCATCGGCGTTGTCTGGCACAAAGTCTCCCTGCACCAGCGTCAGCAGCCTCTTCCCTTTCACCGTCTCATACCGAAGCTTCCTCAAGAGGGTGCAGCCCGTCCTCCTCCTGTCCGTCGTCGTCCTGAACGAAGTCGTCCTGCCCGTCGTCTTCCTGCACGAAGTCGTCCTGCCCTTCCTCCTCCTGCTGCAGGTAAGAATCTGCTCACGGCGTCAGCTCCTGGCCCTCAGCCTCCAGTGCTGCGACCTTGCGCCGAGTCTTGCTCCACCAGCGGCTCTAGCTGATCTCCCAGCATCTGCTGACAACATTTGACAACCTATTGACAAGGTCGCGAGGGATGTCAAACCTCGTCATGCTCGTGGTAACGGTCGTCGAAGGTTTCATTCTGATCGCACGGTCAGAGCAGGTCGAAGAAAAGAGTCAAAGATGTCACATGCGCATGCTCCATCATGTCCTGTCCCCTCATGCCTGCGCCAACAGGATAAGAGGCTGGAAGAGGAGGAAGAAGTAACATACCTTCCGATTGCTGGTTGTCCATGTAAACATTGTTGAGATCTGCCGAGAACGTCAAACACCAGAGACTTGATCATGTGACAGGCTCACTGCTTCTCTGATGATATCTTGCCTGGGCCTGGGCCTTTGCTGCCTCTCTGTTGATCAAGAACTGTCTCTCTGTCTTGGTTATCTCCTTCCCGTCTAGCATACTGACTGTCGATGACCTGTAGAACAGTCAGTGATGACACATCCTCCTCCTCCTCTCACATCAATGTGACAAAGTCACGAAACTTGTGCTGTTTGGTCACGGGGTTGCCTTTCATTTCTAAGGTTGTGAGCTCGCAACAAGCGGAATTTCCAAGAATGGTGCCTACTTCCTGAACAACAACTTTCAGATCGAGACAGGAGTGGAGGGAGTGAGGGAGTGGAGGGAGGGAGTGGAGGGAGGGAGTGGAGGGAGGGAGGGAGTGGAGTGGAGGGAGGGAGGGAGGGAGGGAGGGAGGGAGGGAGGGAGGGAGGGAGGGAGGGAGGGAGGGAAAATGAGATGGGGGAGGAAGACTTTGACTTTAGAGGGTGAGGCGGGAGGGAAGGAGGGAGACGAGGGAGGAAGCGAAGGAGGGAAGCAAGAGGAGGAAGGAGGGACGAGGGAAGGGGTGAGCTGAACGCACCTCGAAGCTTGAGATGTGATTCCACGACATGTCCAAGCGCTGGAGGGATCGGAGCACGCGAAACTGCGAGACCTGACTGATGTTGTTCTTCTGGATGTTGAACACCTGGCAAACCAGCTCACGCTTGACCTAAACCAGCTCACGTCTGTTCAGGTACCTGCAGAGATCCAGAGACCGCGTGGAGTGTTGCAGTTTCAAACGTCAGGCATTGATCTGTTGGAAGTCTCTGCGCTTGGCAGTGCAGCTCTTCCAAGTAGTTGCAGGAGGCCAAACCGCTGATCTCCGTCAACTCGTTCCCTGACGCTAAGTTAGGAGGGAACAGAGTTTGCAGGCTATCTGACCCCCAATGAACAACTTCCTAAGATTCCTGAGCATGCCAACATTTTCTATCCTGGAAATGAAGTTGTCTTGGAGGTAAAGGTGCCTGGACCAACCATCACCTTCCAGGAAGCGAAACATGCAGCGCTCACGTGAGGTTGAGAGCGAAGGACAGGTTTTCTATCCTCTTGATCTTGTTCTCATACAGGTAGAGGCACTGCAGCAGCAAAATCAAGGCACTACAACGAGCTTGGTCAACACCGACCTGGAGGCTGGTGCAATGTTCCAATCCATCAATCTATCGATGAAAGTTCAGCCTAGCTCTAAGAATACGAGTGATGCGGTATCATGTCAAACCTTCTCTATCTTCTTATCGCTCAGGTTGATGTGGGTCAGTCGCTGCAAGCAAGTTAGCTCTCTTTCATGCCATCGCAACACACCAACCTTGAGAAACGCGTTCTCATCCTCGCCCTGACAGTAGTGAAAAAACAATTGAGAAGAGGATCGTCAGTAATAACACACTGCTCAGCTCCATTCCTTCTCCTCTGCTCTCTCTCCTTCTCCTCTCCTCGCTCCTTCTCCTCTCCTCTCTGCTTCTCCTCTCCTGTCTCTCCTATGTCCTATCTCCTGTCTCCTCTTACCTGCTCTTCTCCTCTCTCCTGTCCTGTCTCCTGTCTCCTGTCTCCTGTCTCCTGTCTCCTGTCTCCTGTCTCCTCTCTCCTCTCTCCTCTCTCCTCTCTCCTCTCTCCTCTTACCTTCCTCTTTCTCTGTGTCGTACATCGTCCGATCAGGTCAACCGAAACCTTGACCATGTTCGCCCCCTTGACCCCACCCTGTTGTGAACTTTACAAATACCCCGCATGGGTACCCCACCCCTCGTCATTCAATGACCCCACCCCAACATTAAGCTTTCTGAGGACGGGATGCCTCCCTGTCCTCTCTGACCCACCCGTGGTGGAACCAAGAATTCAAATTTGAACCTGGTACCGTACCCACCCCTACCCCACCCGTTCCCTTGTGGCAGCCGGATCAGTCCCAAGGATTTCCGGGTCTGCCTCAGTCTCGGCAATGGTGCGGGGGGTGAAACGAGCGGCGAGCGGCGAGGAGGGTGCGAGGAAGAAGAGGAGAGGAGGGGGAGGAGAGAATGGCGGAAGCCTTCCACTTGCTGATGTTCTTCACAATGGCCTCGAGGATGATTCATCCTCGGCCATGGTCAGCTCCGATGAGCTTGAAATTCCTCAAGACAGAGCGAGGGAGCAGGGAACGTGCAGGTTCAGGTCGAGACGAGGGGACGAGGGGATGGGAAGGACGAGGACAGAGGAGGTCAGTGTACAGACAGAGAAGCGAGATCGTGAGACGAGGATCTCTTCCATACCTCCAAAAGTGCTGGAGGCTGATGCGAAGCGTTACTCTTCAGTCTCACCTCGGGAGCGGGCCATCATGAGCTCGAGCCCCAGGAGCAGCGACAAGAGGAACCTCGCGCAGGGGTCTAGAGGGTTTGTCAGATACGTGCTGGGCGAGGTGTCTCCTGTGGTCGTTGAGAGTGAGCTCCAGGAGGCAACACCAGACATGTTCTTCCCTAAGGTCAACGAAGACTGGACGCCGCAATGTCCTCCCTTCATGAAAGTTCCTTTCAAGCTTGAGAAGACGCTGTCCATCGGCTTTCTTGTCTGTGCAGACTCCTTCCTCTTCAATTTCACTCTCCTACCCTTGAGGACGATCTCGGCGGTGGTCGCTTACGTGTGCTCCTTCATCCCCTTCCTGCAATGCAGTCGTCCTGTCGCGATCCTGGATGATGTTTCCCGTGCTTGCTTGATGTTCAGCTCGCTGGCTGTGTTGTTAACAGTAGATATCTCTTTCTTGTACCACTACATCAGAGGACAGGTGAGACGGCAGAGAAGATGTGACGTGATGCTCACTGTTGTACTAGATGTCATCCTACATCAAACTCTACGTGATCTACAACGTGCTCGAGGTTCGCTGGATCTCTTGACCCCTAGGGTGATCTTGACCTCTTCTCAGGTCTTCGACCGACTCCTCTACTCGCTAGGACAGGACGTGTTTGACACGCTCTCGATATGGAGCGCGCAGGCAAGTTGGCTGGAGGAGGTTGTGTTGGAACTTCTTACTTGATCCACCAGAAGGAGAATGGAAGATACTCTGCTGCTTTTAGAAGCTATCAGTTCCGTGCGGTCTATCCCCTGCTTGCTGTTGCCTATGTCTCCGTACACTCTGTTGTCTTGCTTGTTCAGGTAGCCCGTGCATGTCATCGTTGAAGGCTGTTGATGCTGCAGACTGCAGGTTGTCACTCTGAACGTTGCGATCAACTCGCAGAACAATGCACTGATCACTCTCCTGGTCGCCAACAACTTCACTGAACTTAAGGGGCATGTTTTCAAGAAGTTCGATGAGAGCACGTTGCTACAGGTGCGACGATCTTCTCTCCTACTGTTCTCATTTCTATTAGGTTGTCTGCGCAGACATTGTAGAAAGATTCCAGATGGTCGTTTGTCTCAGCCTTGTCACTTTGCAGAACTTGGTGGTGGATGGGAAGCTGATGAACAAGGCTTGGCTGCAGGTGAACATAGCAGGGATAGATGCGCTTCACTGTCTCTCTGACTTGCAACGACTTGCAGGACTGGGGCAACATGGTGGTAGTAGTGTGGTGCACAGAACTTCTAGTCGACTGGATAAAACACGCGTTCATCACCAAGTTCAACAAGATTGAGCCGGATGTCTACAACAGGTACAGAGATGTCATCTGGGAGCACATCTGCAACGCCTGGCGACTTCGGCAGGTGCAGCTTCTCCCCTCTCAAAGTTTCCCAGCTCACCTTCAGCTCAGCCTCACAGGGTCGCCAAGCACGTGGGTTTCGTCTCCCTCCCTATCGCCTGCGTCTTCACCCGGGTGGTGCTGCACACGCTGACCCCCGAGCACATCATAGCCATCCGTCAGAACTGGAAGGTGCTCGTGCCCCTCGGAGTCGTGTGGTGGTGTGTCCTTTGTCAGATCAAGGTGATCTTAAGTTTGCTCCTGCTCTCCTCACCCCCTCTAGATGAACTTGTACCTCGTCCTTCTCGGACACGCGTGCAAGCGAAGGATCGTGAGTTTCCCGCCCCTTCTCCTGCCGACTTGTAACTTCCCTTGTCCCTCAGAGGAAGCAGGAGAAGTTTGTGGCAGCCGAGGATGAATTCCGGTGAGGCTGTTTACGATCCTCCTCCTCCCCCTGAGTTGCTTCATGATAGGAACAGCCAGGCTGGAGGAAGAGCCTCACAGAAGTTCCAGAGCCCACGAGCATCCCCAGCTGACATTGACAAGGTTGACATGGCTGACGTCTCGGCTGCTAGGGTGATCTCTTCCTGCAGGAGGCGCACGAGGCTGCGGTGGTGCAGGAGCTCATGGGCGTCGAGATGTTCACGTGCGTCCTCCATCCCTTCGCTGGCTGGCCTCCTCTGACCGCTACGACCGCAGGAGGACGAGGAACGTGACCAAGATGGACGGGCAGGTAAGCCCGTCTCCTCCTCCCTCCCGTCCTCTCATGTCGACTAGCAGGCAAACAAGAGCCCTGTGCTTCATCCTTCTACTCCAGGCAAGCCTTCCTTGGGTGACCTCCGCTCCCTCCCAAGCCCTGCAGCTGATGCGGTTGGCAGGATACGTGAGCGCGTACCCTCCGCAGATGGAGCTTAATCCAGTAGGCATCTCTCGATGCACGTCGACGACCGAGCTGAGCAAGAAGGTGACCTAGAGGAGGAGCTGCTTGTGCTGCAGGAGGGCATCGAGGATAAAAGAGGTGGCTGTAAATAGACGGAGAAGTTTAAGTTGTTAATGAAGGTCTAAAGGTATGGTACATGTGTAACTATCTCACTTCTTCTTCGGTTTGCTCTCTACCACAATCTCATTCCCGAACTCATCGAAGCGAGATGCAAGCTCTCTCTTCTTTCGAGCTACGATCCTCTCCGACTTCAGCTTGATCGCGTTGCGGTCATCCGTCTCCGCATGGTCGTCCTCCTCCTGCGCCCTCCTGGGGCTGCGGTTGACCCGAGACAGCGGCAGGCGGTAGTTGTTCTTGAGGTCTATCAGCCCCACCGGCATCTCGTGAGCTCCCTTGAGGCTCCTGATGCTCGCCTCCTCCTGAGGCGGAACTTCTCCCTGGACCCTCTTGAGGTAGCTGTAAACGTTCGCCAGCTTGTCGGAGGTCTCCAACAGTATCGCCACGACCCCGAACCTCGGGTGCTCCACCTTCTTCATAGCCAGCATGTGCTCGGGGTCGTTGAGAGTCTCCTCGAAGCTGCCTCCCTGCACCACCTGGCTCAGGCTCAAGTCTCCCGCGCTCTCCACGTTGGACGGCATCTCCGTCCACTGCAGGCTGGTCTCCTCCGAGGACGCGTTCAAATCGACTTGCGACACCACCACCATCGACTCGTCTTTCGGCGACTTCCTGTCCACCTCAATATGAACAAGTTTTGATGCCAGGAATTCCATCCCAGATCTGTTGTCAAGAAATCAGCACTAGCACGGGTCAAGGGGAGAGAATACCTGATCTTGATGAGCAAAGATTCGAGAAACAATTGTTTTGCTTGCATGTCCCCGATCTTTCGTCGCATATTCGCTGCAACAATCACGATCAGCAGGTCAACGAGATACATCTGGACTCACATAGTTGTTGAATCACTTCTTCGACCTCCTCTCGCTCAGCATCGTTGGCACTTCCGCTGTACTTGATCTTCATCAGCTCTTGTTCGAGCTCACGCTTCAGGTCTGAGAGCTCGTCGATTCGGTTCTTGTTGTGCTCCAGCAGCGTTTCAAAATGCTGCTGCTTCTGATCGCGATTCAGAATCGCGTCCTGTGACAGGTGGGGATGAGGCTCGAGGCAAGACAACCCGACAGCTGACCTGGAGCTCCTCCAGCGTTTGTATCCCGGAGATGCTCATCATCTTCTGGAACGCATCCTCTAGCCTGGAGTGGAATTTGTCTTTCTGCCGCTGCTGGGCTACTGCCTCCTTGTTGGCAGCCAGGTCCTGTAGGTTCTTTTGCCTGCCAACCCCCCGGTCACAACTGAAGCAGCTCAAGAGATACGCAGACCGGGCGAGCTCCTCCTCCTCTGCGATCAGCTTCTTCAACGCCTCGTCTTTGAGCTGCATCTTTTGCACTTTTCTTCTTCGCTCTGCCAACCTCTCCTCCCTCCTCTCCCTGTAAAGTTGCATCTGCTCGTAGTAGTCCGACACCTGGCGCTCCGCTGCGTCGCGTTCATTCTTGGCCTCTTGCAGCCTGACCTGGAGCAGGTTTATCGATTGAAAGCAGTCAGCAACGAGTCGTTCACTTGCAACGCTCGGATGTCATGGTCGTGGTTGTCCAGCAGGTCTTTGAAGTTCATCGTCTCAATGTCTCTCGAGTGCTTCTCCGACGCGCATCTTGTCTGCATGTGCAGCAGCGTCTTGGTGTATGATTCTTCTTCCCGTAACGCCTCAGTCCAGTACTCGAGCTGCTCAACATTTCAAGAGCATGAGACGACACGACCTGAAATTACCTTCGCTTCTAGGTCCTGTATCCTGTGTTCGTTGTGCAAAATGCTTTTCCTGTCTTCACTCCTTGCCTCCGCATCGATTGCAGCCTGAATTACAAACAGTGACTGATTCAAATGCTCACAGAAGCACACACCTTTCTGTCGATCAGCAGGGCATATTGCCTCTCTAAATCCGTCCTCTGCTTTTTCAGGTCGTTGTACTGCTTTGTGAGTTGCATATTGTACTCGACGGCCTCCTCTTTGTGCTTTTCAAACATCTGCCTCTCCGCCGCCTTCTGCTCAGCTTCGATACTTCGCTGCTCCGCTTCCAGGGCTCTGATCTCTGGCTTCTTGTGTAAGGACCTGCTGTTGCTCATCTTGGATTGACTGCTGCGGTTGAAGTGAGGAGACATGCGACGATCAGAAGCAAAGGAAGTACCTGCCCACTCTCTTGAATTTACTCTGAGAGAGAATCTTCACACAGGCATCGGTCAGCAACCAGAATCTTCTCCATCTCATCAAGTCACCTGCATCAAGTTGATGGGCATCGAAGAGGATGACGTGTATGGTGGCGCTGAGTCTCTTCCTGATCTGAAGGAGCGATCGTTGATCGAGCCCTCGCCCTTCATCTGCAACAACATCAGCAGGCAAACATCAGGTCCATGGCTAGCTCGAGCACTGCAACGCCGATGACAATGAAAGACAAAACAAACCCAGGACGACAGCGAATGATGAGAAAGACAAGAAAGACAAGAAAGACAAGAAAGACAAGAAAAGAAGAGAATGAGAATGAAAGGAATGAAATAAAATGTAGGAACCGAAATAGATTGAAAAAAAAAGAATGACAATGAAAGCAAGAAAAGACAATGAAAGACAAGAAAGACAATGAAAGACAAGAAAGACAATGAAACACCACGACTTGCGGAGCATGTCAGCTAGTCTCACCGCGAACTTTCTTCGAGGTCGTCCCATTGAGAAGCTTCCAGCCTGTGAACCCCCTCGGTCTCTTCCACTCGAATACTCCGCACTCTCGGGCCTCTCCGACTTGACAGTGAGGAAAGCGCTCTTGGCGAGGTTGGTGAACAGGAAGGGGGCATGCGGGATGGTGCTCTTGGAGCGAGGAGGAGAAGGAGGGAGGATGTCGACGGGAGGATCGCACAGGCTAAAGTCAAGGGAGAAGCTGTTGTTCCTCGTGACGTTGTGGGCTGATGATGGTCGAGACATCTCGACTTGTACAAACTGTCTGACGCTTCTGCCCTGCCGCTAGTGATCCGACTGCCGCCTCACTGTCGACTTCCTGGTCTCCTCGTGAGCTTCATCACTGCCATCTCTCTCTATCTCTCGCTAATCTGATCGCTCGTTGTTGTTCACGCCATGTCCTCTCTGCTCCCTCCCTCCCTGACTTGCCGCCTCACCGCCTGCATGCCATGATGCAGGGCAACAAGCGCTTCCACTGATCGAGGAGGATGAGATGCGTTAAACTGTATTAGCCACATGCGTTAACTGTAACTGTACGAGGGAACCAGGGGTCCATATCACCTAAGAGAGTGGGGTCATACCCAGCCTGGTTAGAGTGGTAATAGTGTCCGATCTGTCCTCTGTTCTTTTTTGTAACTTTACCCGGCAGCTGGCCCGGAGCCGCCCGTTCCGAGGTGTATTCCCTAAGAAAAGCGCCAGGATTCCTGTCGGGAGGAAGAGGAGAAGAGAAGAAGAGATGAGGAGGGAGAGGAGGGAGAGGAGGAGGAAGAAGGAGAGACTATGAGAAGAAAGTGTCATCTATGGCATGTAAGAAGCAACATGGAAGCAAGGGGAGCAGAAGAGTCTCTTTCTCTCCCCATTGATCTCCTCCTCCCCTCCCCCATCCCTCGAGTCTATCTTCTTTTCATTTTCATTCCCAACAAGAATTTCTCACACTTGATTCATAAGGCTGCCACCCTCTCGCTCCTGCAAGCTTTTCGTTCTCTGCTTCTTCTCTCTATTCCTCTGGTCGACAACAGCGCACATGGCGAAGAGGAAGGCTCAAGAGATCTGTTTCCGTAGCAGAAAGTCGGCGAACGCTATCAAGGTGCGGAGATGTCTGACCGGGAGGAGGAGGTGTGGTGTTATCTGATGAGAGGAGATGGGTGAGAGGAGGAGGGGGCCAAAAGGGAGAGGATGGGGAGGGTGTGTTGTTCATTCGTGTTTTGATCTTGTTGTTACAGAAGGTACCGAGGTCATCCTCTTCTCTTTCTTCTCCACTGGTCTCATCCTCTTCATCTGTTGCAGGAAAAAGGAAGATGAGAACGTGTCTGCTCCAAGGTGCGCTATTTACCCTCAACCCATTTCATCCTCTTCGTCCTGCACCTTCTTTGTCTTGTTTGCCTTTCCCTTAAGTTCAACTATCTTCCCCCTGCTTCCTGCTTCTACTCTGTTGATATATGAGCAGTACAATATGCTTGAGAGACTGTGAAACTCTGGGATGGGATGTCAGCGCAGGAATTGAGCATTTGACAGCGAATGGACTACTTCGTGAGGTTGAGGTGAGATCTTTGTTGCTGCTGCTGCTGCTCTTGCTGCTCTTGCTGCTGCTGCAGGTCCCAGCATGACGAGGTAGCAGGAATACGGCTGCCCTCCGTTTCTTCAGGAGGAGAAGAAGACAGGAGCTTCGAACCATTTCATCTCGCTCGCTAAGGCCATTGTGAGCTCAATCGCATAAGTGTTGCTGAAGTTTGACGTCCTCTCCCTCCACCACCACCACCTCGTCCTCCTCTCCCTCCACCACCTTCTCCTCCTCCTCCTCCACCACCACCACCTCCTCCTCCTCCTCCACCTCCTCCTCTCCCTCCACCACCTCCTCCTCTCCCTCCACCACCACCACCACCACCTCCTCCTCTCCCTCCACCACCTCCTCCACCTCCACCTCCTCTACCACTTCGTCCTCCTATCCCTCCTCTTTGCAGGTCTACCAACAGCTAGCAGGAGCAGCAGCCGCGACGATCTGGAAGCGATTTGTGTCGCTCCTGTCCTGCACGCCCGTGACGAGCGAGGAGGAGCTCGCCGCTGCTCTCTCGTCGCTGTCTCCTGCTGCTGTCCTGCAGCTCGACGAAGACAAGCTTCGATCCGCAGGCCTGTCGCGAGCTAAGGTGAGATGGAGACGAAGATGAGGATGAGGATGAGGATGAGGATGATTACGATGGTGGTGATGATGTGATGGGTAATGATGATGGAGATGGAGATGGAAATGGTGATGGTGATGGTGATGATTATAGTGATAGTGATGGTAATGTTGATGGTAATGATGACGATGATGATGATGACGACGACGACGACGATGATTGTGATGGTAATGATGATGATGGTGATTGTGATTGTGATTGTGATGATGATGATGGTGATAGTGATGGTGATGGAGTTGATGATACACATGATGATGGTGGCGATGGTGAAGGGGAGGAGGAGGAGGAGGAGGCGGCAGGGGGGGGGGGGGGATGGTAAAAAGTGTTGTAGGCATCTTACGTCCGCGATCTTGCCTGCAAGTTTGAAAATGGCGAGCTTGAGGTAGTGAGGCTGAGCAGCAACGAGAGGATTGAAGCATGTCAGGGGTTGGAGGAGAAGGACGACGAGGAGCTCGCCCGTGCCCTTATTGCGGTTCTACCTGCTCCTGCTCCTGCTCCTGCTCCTGCTCCTGCTCCTGCTCCTGCTCCTGCTCCTGCTCCTGCTCCTGCTCCTGCTCCTGCTCCTGCTCCTGCTCTCATCCCATGCTCTCCCTTTTCCTCGGCTTCCTCGCTGATTTTCCGGCAGGTCAAAGGCATCGGTCCTTGGACTGTCGACATGTTTATGATTTTCTCCCTGTATTCCTCCCGTCTATCTCCCTCTCCTCCCGTCCCTTCCACCTTTTGTTCTCTATCATCGCCACCTCCCGCTTACATCCTGCCCCTGCCCCTGCCCCTGCTCCTTCTCCTCCTTCTCCTCCTGCTCCCCCCCGCTCCTCGAGCTCCCCCCGCCCCTTCCTCCTCTTGCCCGGTTGTCACTCTGTTTCCTTTCACAGGCACAGACAAGACGTACTTCCTGTCGGTGATCTTGGGGTGAGGAAGGGAATGCAGGTGATCTCAGTCTCTACTTCTTTCATCTCCCCCTCTTCCCCTTCTTCCCCCTTTTCTTCCTCCGTTCCTTTTCCCCGTCCCCTCGATCTACCTCCTCCTCTTGTCTTCCTTTTCCTCCTCGCCTCCTCCATCGCCTCCGTCGCTGTCGTCAGGTGCATCCTCGCCTCCTCCAGCTGCCCGCAGCCCAACGCCATCCTTCCTCGGTGAAACTCTGAGATCCCCACCCGCCGCTCCCTTGCCTGCTCCTCTCGTCACTCCCCCTCCTCCTCCTCCTCCTCCTCCTCCTCCTCCGCTTCCTGACCTGAGCAGAGCAAATTGATGACAGTCGCTCGAGGGAGATCAGCTGCCCGTGCGCCTCCTCCAGCATCAGCTCGACCCGCTCTGCTCGCCTACTGCTAACAACTTCTGCTGCCTTCTCGAGCTCCAGCCTTCTCCTCGCGTCTTCCAAGCGCTGCTGCCCATCACTGACCTCCGAATGTCAGAAGGAGGAGGAGGAGGAGGAGGAGGACCTTATGGAGGATGACGCGCGATCGGGTTGTCCCGCGCGCAGGGCGGCTCTGGCGAGGGAGAGAATCTCGAGGATGTTTTCTTCCTCTTGCTTCCAGTGCACGGAGAGCTGAAGAACAAACGTTATGATGAGATGAGGAACAGACAAGGAGGAGAAGCAGGAGGGAAGAGCTGTCAGCAAGGTGGAGGAAGAGGAGGAGGATGCAGGAGGAGAGGAGGAGGTGGAGGACCTCCGAGCTTTCTCTTTCCCCATCTCCTGAGCAGCCAGCAGTCGTCGGCTGCGGGGAGTATCGATCCTCAGGCTCGCAGTCCATCGGGTCAGACGCAGGACAACCTGGAGAGTGAGCATAAGGAGGGAGGAAGGTAAAATGACTGAGGGGAGGAACCAGGAGGAATCAGCAGCGAGGAGGAGCGAGGCAATACCTTGGTCAGGCTCGCAAGATGCTGCAGGCAGGGATGGAGGAGGGGTAGACGTTTGACTCATACTTGAGTGGTGGTCGAGGAGTAGTAGGAGAGGAAGTACCAAGGAATGGATCAACTTCTTCGTCTCCTCCTGGTCCCCTGCATCCTCGAGGGCGAGCACTCCTCCATTTTCTTCCTCCCCACCCACTGACATCCCTGCTCTCTCACCAGCTGATGCGACCAGTTGCTTCCCCGTTGAGCTGAGCAGGTCTTCATCTGTGCCTCCTGCTCCTCTCTCCTCCTCAACTTCATCTTTCAGTTCAAACTCTTTCTCATGTCGACGAGCCTCCTCCTCCATTGCCTCCACGTCCTTGATGACAGGATCTAACGCTAGGTTCTCCTGCTCTCCTGCCTCCTCCCCTTGCTCCTCCTCCGAGCCCCCAACCTCCAAGTTGAGTTCTGCAGCACTTGGCTTGTACTCTTCTATCCCGACATCTTCACCGTTTGCTGCTCCAATTTCTGACTTGTCCTCTTCGAACAAATCCTCTCCCAGAACCATCCCAGTGTCCTTGCTGGCTGTCTCTGCTCGTCCGTCTCCTCCTCCATCCTCGGCAGTGATGTTCTCCCATCCCTCAGCTTCTTGTTCAGCTGCCTTCTCTACTTGCCCCTGTTCACCTCCGGCGCTTTCATTCTCTTCCCCCCTCCTCTCTGCTTCAGATTCTTCTCCCAGCGTTTCCAGCAGAATCTCGTTCTGCCCCACAAAGCTTTCAATATTCGATTGAGCTTGTCGCTCTTTCTCCTCCTCGCTGACCCGTCCAGCTTCCTCCTCCCCTCTCGATGCCTCAATCCTGATTCCCTCGACAGCTGGCTCGTCCTGTTCCTGGTTGCGAAAGGCGAGCAAGGGAGGAGGGGGGAGGGGAGAGCTGATGAGAGTTTCTGATTCGCTTCTTCTCCTGGCCTCGATCATGATCGGGGACTGCAAAGGAATCACTCTAACAACACATAAGACATCGGGCAGGCATACCCGGGGAGAGCGGGGGGAGCGAAGTGAGAGGTGAGCTCTTCCTGTTCCACATGCTTCAGCTCCTCTATCAGCCAGTCCCCTTGCAGAGCTTACCAACTTCTCTTTCCTTGACTTCTTGCAGGTGAGAGGCTGAAAACAAGTCGCTGTGATCCTCGTCGACGTCATTCTGAGTGATTTCAACCTGGAGGACGTGAACCGATGAAAGTGCACGGGGCAAGAGACCTCCAGTGAAGAATCGAAGTCCTCCTCCTTTACAGCTTCTCCTTGGGTATCTTGCGCTTGTAAAGGAACCGCGTTCGCTTCTGCGACTACTCGCACAAAGGCTGTAAGGCCATTCCTACCCGAACTCAAATACAACAAGAGCACTTACAGGGCCGAACTCTCTTCGCTCGATTGACGATCCTCCGACCTCGCTTGCGCGATCTTCTGGCCATCACATCCTGTCTGGTTTCCGCATTCAAGCTCTCAATTACAGCAGGAGGAGTCGTGCTAGGGACAGTCTGAGCCTGTTCGCCTTGCGGTCCTCCAGCTTTCTTGGGTCTCACTGCTCTTGCGACTCTCCCACTGACCAGCCGAGGACCCTCGACGACTGGACTCCTCGTCACACCTCGGCGAATTGCCATCCGTGTCACTGCTCCTCCTCTCAGCCTGATGAGGCTGTATCTTGCACAGCGAGCTGGTGAGTGAACAGGGAGGGAGGGATCCGTATGCAACAAGATCACGAAAACCTTCAATAGAACGTTTGCAATGACGCGATTAAGCTTCATGCTGTACTGATGAGTGGGCGGAGACAGACCCTCAATCACGAAGTTCAAAGGAGCTTCTCCTCACGTATGAAGGACATTACGACCACAACCTTGCAACCATGACCCTGTCAAGACATGTTAGAAAACGAGGCGTGACGACGGCAAAGTCAGCCAACACCTTGCAATGAAACAAACATTTGATATATAAAGAGTTCTTCACAGGTTACAAATGTTGCTCTTTAACCCTCCCTCTACATGCACATCAAAATATAAGAAATCTTCCAAGTCCTATCACCATGTACAAAGCTCGCCCTAGTTCAAATCTACACTCCTCTCTCGTGGTGCATTACACTTGTTACTGTAAGCAAGAAATCTGTGTATCACTGATCTGCACTGAGAGCATTTCTACTATTGCAACATGTTTCTCATGGTCTCTTCTCTCCTTCGCTCCTCTTGACAGCCCTGTCTACGTTTCTTACATGCCATGTTTGCCCTGCCACGATTTTCAAAAATTTGAAAACATGTGTAAAACCTTTGTGACGGTTACAGTTTTCTATGCATGTAACGTCCACGTTACATGCAACGATCATCGTTCCTCGAAGCAACAGTGACCTGTCCATTTAGAAACATGAGGGGTGGTACTCAGAAAGGGTACAAAAATAGGGGTATTTTTTCCCAAATATACTCATGATAATAGGGTAGGGTGCTACAGTTTGCATCAGGGTGGGTAGGGTGAAACTGTTCTCATGATGTCATGGCTTGCAGCGCACTGTGAATCAGGAAGAGGAGGAAGGGGAAGAGGAAGAGAGAAGAAGAGGAGATGGGAGGAGAAGAATTTTGTTGTGAAATGCAAATAGGATCAAGGAATATGAGATGAAGATGTGATGAGAAAGAGAAGAAGACAGGAGCTTGCGTATGTTGAGGAGAAGGCGAACCAGCATATGGAAGAAAAATATGACGAAGGAGAGACCGATGTAGGCCAGAGCTACACTTATCAGCTGAAAAAATTTCGCGATAGGGATAGAGACAGATTCTCAACTCTTTAAAGATCTTTGACGACTTGAAAAGATTCGGGGAGTACTTTGAATGGAGCTGTTCCAACAAAGTGCCCTCTTTAACCTGCCGACATTCATGATAATGCGATGTAACTCGACATCGGTTACCAGCAGGGCTTGCCTGACACATCTGTTCATGTCTCTTGCTGTGCAGTGTGTGTTGCTATGTGTTCCCTTGGGGGATTTCAGGTCGCGAAGGTGCCAGTGGATGATTTACTCTGGATGGCAGGAGCATGGTTAGTATAACCGTGAAGTGCTCGACAGGAGCAAAGATCAACGTCAACGTCGAACTGGACAAAACAGTAGCTGACCTCAAGAAACTGCTAGAAGCTGAAAGTGGAATCTCACCGGAACAAATGCGATTAATCTACAGGGGTCATGTGTTGAAAGACGGCAACACGCTGCAGTCGTACTGTAAGTGTCTGTCTTGATGTTGGATCGCCTTGACGGTATCTCTCTCAGCGGTTGAAGACGGGCATACCATCCACCTGGTGCAAGGGTCTGCTTCGCAGAGCAGTCATCCGACCTACAGCCCGTCTGCTTCTTCCCCCAGCTCCACCTCCCCGTCGATTCCTGGAGTCGCCCCAAACATGCAGAGCATGCAGCAGCAGATGATGTCGGATCCTCAGATGATGCAGCAGGTCATGAACTCTCCCATGATGCAGTCGTTAATGAACAACCCTGAGTTGATGCGATCGCTCATCCAGAACAACCCTCAAATGCAGGCAATCATCGAGCAAAACCCAGAGATTGGACATGTCCTGAACGACCCAGCGATCCTGAGGCAAACCATGGAGGCTGCAAGATCGCCAGAGCTGATGAGGGAGATGATGAGGACAGCCGATCGAGCGATGAGTAACATTGAGAATTATCCTGAGGGATTCAACATGCTCCGACAAATGTACCATAATTTCCAAGAGCCGATGGCAAACGCTGCTATTGCTGGATCAAGAGCTACGAATGAAGACACTGCTGCAAAACCGGATCCATCCAATCCATTTGCGGAATTGTTTCAGGTATTCTTTATCTTCTTGAATATTTCTCTCTAATTTCCTTTTCAGCCATCAGCCACAGCTACTGGTCCCACTGGAGCAACGCCCAACCCCTGGGCGCCAGCACCAAGCACAGCGAGCACCTCCAACGAAAACAACACTTCCAATGCATTCGGTAACTCGCCATTCATGGGCATGGGTGGAGGAATGGGCGGGTTGGGCGGGTTGGGCGGGTTGGGCGCTCCGGGAGGGTTCGGCGGAGATATGGAAGGGATGTTGAACAACCCGATGGTCCTGGAACAAATGCAGCAAGCCCTCAACGATCCTGCAATCCAACAGATGATGTCGGACCCCAACATGATGCAGCAGGTTGAAATATTCTCTTTGATTGTCCACCTTCCTGATAAAATGCGTCCAGATCATGAATTCCAATCCAATGCTTCAACAGATGCTAGACGCTAATCCTCAAGCCCGAGCTATGCTTCAGGATCCGGAAGTATTGAGGCGCATGAGTGACCCTGCTACATTTCAGTCTATGATTCAGATGCAGCAAGCTATGAGGGGAATGCAAGGCGGTCAGCAGCCATCCTTCAACCCTTCTGCTTTCGGCCAATCGAATCTATTTGGTGGTTTCCCTGCTCCTCAAGCAAATCCTCCATCAAACGTTCCCCCTGAGGAGAGATTCCGTACACAGCTAGAGAAATTGAGGGACATGGGCTTCAGCGATCAACAGGTGAGATGCGCGAGTATGGAAGGTGTTGTCACTCGTGTTGGCAGGCGAACTTGTCAGCACTTCAAGCAACAAACGGAAATATAGATGCAGCGATTGACCGACTACTGTCAGGAATATGATGTATGAATAGATTACAGCTTGTGAAGTTGCAAGCCTTTATTGGGCAGTGAGATCGTGGGAAAAACAAGACTCAGAGATGAGAGGAAAGGAAGCATCAGGAGAGACCGTGAGGGGCCCTCAACCATGGCCCATTCCTGATCTACGACCCTTGTGCACGCATCTCGTTCGTATCATGCCTGGCCTCGTCTCCCTCCTCTCCCTCTTCCTCGATTATTTCTTCCCCGATTCCTGCACCCGGTCAAAATCCAGGTAGAGCGGGAGGTTCAATACCCTCGTCTGATGGCGTCACTCCTAGCAGCGAGGGGAGGCAGCTTCTCCGACGGTCCGGTTGGCAGCTTAGTTCCCGTCTCCTCCTCGATCTGCCACCCCGTCACATGAGGGAGGGACGGATGGAGGGTGGAGGAAGGGATGGAGGGAGGGAGGGAGGGAGGGGTGGACTGAGGTGGAGGGGTGGAGGGATAAAACGAGGGATGGAGAGAGGGCCTGTATCACCTTCGCCTTCAGTTGCTGCAGAACTTTGATCTGTGCCAACTTCTCGGGGCTGAGCAAGTCCCAGTAGATCCCCTGGCCTTCCATGAGCGGACGAGAGCAAGCGACTTTGAAAGTCACCTCTGGTTTCTTACGACGATTCTCTATACGGATGATGCGAGTGGGGGTGCAGATACTGAGAGAAGGTCAGCAGCAGTTTCACCTCTCAAGCTTTACATGTCCACAGGAACGTCGTGCTTCAGGAGCTCCTCGGACGGGATGTCATCGACCACTTGCGCGTCGTGCACACTAGTCACAACCAAGGTGTTGTCGTCGATCGCTCCCATCCTGGTGGCAGAGGTCAACAACAGCTCGTCGCTTGTTCGCTTGCTCACATGCGCAACATTCCATACTCAAGCTCGGCAAACCCTTCGCCCTTCCCGATTCTCGCGCCAGTCCGAGGACACACTGCAGTCGATCCGACGACGATGAGGTCGACCTTGATCTCGTCCTCGGTCGTGAGGGGCTTTCCGTACTTGGCCACCCCGACGGACGTGCAGCACTGGCGCACCTGATCGCGGGGGATCGTATCCAGGGAGAGGATGGAGAAGAAGCCTGTGCGGAGGCGAGGCTGGGGGGTCATCAGGGTCTTGGACGCCATGAGCGTCCGATATCTCACTTCCTTCTGCGGAGTATCGGGGTTGACCTTGACCACCTTCGCTTCCTTGAACTCGCTGAGGCTGCAGAGCTGCATGGCTGCTCTGTCGGCTCCTTCGAAGTTTGGGATCCTGTGAAAGACTGGTCGAGGCTCGCGCGCTATGTCCTGCTCCTCCATGAGCCCCCAGACCCTCTGCCTGATCTCCCACTTCCAAGGATTTCTGAGCTGAGAAAATTCTGACATACTCTCCTCCATCTGCTTCTTCATCTGCTCCCGAGCTAGCGAGTCCAGTCTCGCCCTCTCCTCCTCGTACTTCACCTCGTCCAAATCTCTCTCTTCAGCCTGCATCTTCAATGCCATGCAACGCGACCTCCTGCTGCTCAGCGTCTGATCACGTCGACGTTGCTGTGTGAGACTCTGCGAACAAATAGTGAAGCTGCCACCTCGCGCTGGCAGGGAAGAACCGTGGGCGAAGGAGAACAAGCTAGTTGATGGACTGAGAGCGAGCGATGGGGACGAGAGAGAGAGGAGCAAGGATGCAAGGGGCAAGTGACAGGACAAAGAAAGAGAGGAGGAGGAGGAGGAGGAGGAGGAGGAGGAGGAGGAGGAGGAGGCGGTCGAGGAGGAGGATAGGATGACGACAGCGAACAGAAGCGCCTTTATGTGTGCCATGTCGCACTCATCCCCCCCCATACTCAGAGATAAGTAAAGTAAAGTACCAAGTAAAGTTAACTCAATCCCAAGCGAATCCCTGAAGCCATTCCGACAAACGAGAAGAGACGCGACAGAGAATGGCTGGGAGGGAGGAGGGAGGAGAGGAGAGAGGAGAGGAGGGAGGAGAGAGGAGAGAGGAGAGAGGAGAGAGGACAGAACAGAGGAGAGGAGACGTACGTGAGGGAGGGGAAGTGGGTGGGAGGTTTCGATACGGGAAGAGGAGAGAGATGGGAAGAAAATGGAGAGGAGTCCAGAAAAGCAGTGAGTTGGATCGTGAGAAGAGTTGAGCAAAGGAGATATTTGGCGAGGGATGGAAGGACTGCAAATGTTTGAGAGATGCAGCGAGAAACTGAATAGACCAACGTTCAACCACACGGAGAACAAGACGAGATAAAAGGTAGCGTCAAAGAGAAAAGGGAACGATGAGGTAGTTGTACGAGACTGTAGAGAGCAGGTTGGGTGATGTGGATGTATCAAATCACGTGAAACATATGGGAGATGCAGCAGCTTGAGGGAAGACGAGTTGGATTGAGCAAACATGAACACGGTATGCGGACAAAGAAGCCGTGAAATGATGAAAGATGAAATTGAGGTTTGATCGAGAGGTTATGGTCTTGTTGACATTCTTCTGCAGTTATCTTGTTCATTTCTTTCCGTCTGCGGGAGGAATGTTCTACGTGAGATACGTTCATGTGTCCATTCATGTGTTGATTGACACATCGTGTGCTACAGTATGCAAATTATTACTTGAATTTCAGCAAATTACTGGGAATCACCAAAGAGTCAAAGGTGGATTTCCAGACTTCGCAAAAGCACATTCTAGAGATGTCAGACGTTTCTCATGTCGAGCTTTCTTGATCCTGCTCGTGCTCAGGTATCGCTCGGGGAAGGAAATTCCTTGGGACGTTCGCAAACCGCAACCTGTAGGGACACTGAAGGGAGGAGAGGAGATGATTGTTTCCTTCAGGCACTCGAGGACGCAGAGCGGGAGGGGCTGTCAGTTTGTCTCCTCGTTGTCACGTCTGCTCTGATGCTGCTGACAGGTTCAAGGGGGTGGTGCTGGATGCAGGATGCGGGTTCGGAGACAACGCCATTTTCCTTGCCAGTAGCTTGACCTCTGCTGTGTGACTCGATTCTGACTGTCTCGAAGAGAAAGGGTATAAGGTCGTAGGCTTCGACTTCAGCGCAGAAGCTGTCGAGATAGCCAAGGACAGGCACGGAGCTTGCTGGCTGCTCTCTCTGCCGCCTGAGTATTCTCGGATGTTTTCCTCAGGGCCAGGAAGAGCGGAGTGGAGAGCGAGTGTGAGTTCTTTCAGGCAGACGCCCTCAACTTGGACAAGAGCGTCTTGAGGTAACTCGACTCTTCATCCTCCTCTGCCCTGCCGCAGCTTCCGTAAGATCTTCATTGTCACCCAGCGGTCGAAAGTTTCAGACCATCTTGGATTCAGCATGTCTCCAGTGCTTTGATCCCAAAACCCAGAACGACTACATCAAGAACATCGTGCCCCTGCTGGAGGCCGGCGGAGCTCTTGTCCTCCTGGTTCGCACGTGTTGCCGGGCCTCGCATTCTTCTCACCCCTTGTCCTCCCGCCAGGTCGTCTGCAATCAGAGTCAACTAAGAAGTTGGTGTCGGGGGCTGCGATGGATGGAGGGTCATCTCAACGAGCTGTGAGTGCCGAGGATGGCGCACGTCAAGTGACGATGATGAACAGGTTCTGCGCGGAGAGTGGGTGGATGATCCAGGTGATGGGTGGAGGAAGGAAGAATGTTCGACTCTGACGCCTCCTCGTCACCTCTGTCGTTCTAGGACATGCTGCATACGGTCTTTCTAGAGAACATCCCCATGGTCAGAATCAACAAGGGCGTTCGAAGCTTCGAGCCCGTCACTCCCTCCCCCTGCCTCCGCATGGTCGCGGTGAGACCGTTGGTGAGCCTCCATTCCTACTCCTTCCTGCATGAGTCTACTCCGTCAGGCGCGGAGCAACCAGCTCCAGCTCGTGGTAGCAGCAAGTGCGCTCGCCCTTCTTGCCAGCGGGGTGTTCCTGCTCCTGCGAGGAAGAGCAGGCGTGAGGTGAATCAGGTACTACCGTACGACTTTGTCCGAAGCAATCATCCTTGCAGCTCATTGCTCAAACATCAAACTTCGATCTCACATCAGTGACAGCATGAACTTGAATTCAAACTTGAATATGTTTCACAGTAATAAAACTCCCTCGTCAATACTTGAACATGTTTCACAGTAATAAAACTCCCTCGTCAATACTTGAATATGTTTCACAGTAATCAAACTCCCTCGTCACTATACATGTGATTCAATTCTTCGAATATGATTGTCATAAGATGACAGCAATAGATTATGTGTTACGTGACCACAATAGACCAAGTCTGCCTCAGAGTGTGAAGTCGCAATGGATGGGATGTATCACAGGTTCTTGTCGTGCACGTAGAGCTGCTGCTGCTGCTCCTCCTCTCCTCTGTCTTCTTGCTCCTGATCTCCTCCTCCTCCTCCTCCTCCTCCTCCTCCTCCTCTCTTTGTTGGCTCTGCCCGTGCTGTCGGTACCTGCTCTTTCCGTCCCACATTCAAGCTCTCCTGGTTCCCAACCAGGTTCAAAGCATTCAATGGCAGCAAGATCCTCAGCGCAAGCAAGAGTTTCATGCTCTGATTCTTTCACTCTGGCTGGCAAGCGAAGTG